GGTGTGGGCGTGGAGTGGGTGTGGGTGTGGGTGTGGGTGTGGGTGTGGGTGTGGGTTTGTGTGTGGGTGTGGGTCTGGGTCTGGGTGTGGGTGTGGGTGTGGGTGTAAACGCGTGTGGATCTGGGTCTGAGTCTGCGTATGTGTGTGGGTGAGTGTGAGCGCGGGTGTATGGGTATGGTGTGGGTTTTGGTATGAGCGAAAGATATCAACGCCCGCACCCACACCCACACCCACACCCATACCCACACCCATACCCGCACCCACACCCACACCCACACCCACACCCACACCCACACCCACACCCACACCCACACCCACACCGACCCACACTCACACCCACACCCACACCCACCCATACCCACACCCACACCCACCCACACCCACACCCACCCACACCCACACACCCACCCATCTACATCCACACCCACACCCACACCCACCCCACTCACACCCACACCCACACCCTCAATGTATGTACTAAATTTATTGAAATATATTTATAGAGAATAGTATTATCAACTATATCATGAGCTGAAAAAGGTATACTCTATTTTGCAGTTAAGCTTGCAATATGAGTATCTAATAAGTTATTAATTTTTTTTGTTTAGAACGTTCCTTTGAGGCAAAAAATGCAAAGTAAAAAAGCATTTTCCATTTAGCAGAGTGACTAATAATGTACAATACTTAATCTTGAGTTTTATTGATTGTTGATGGTTTCTTCACAAATTCTTTGTAAGTACCAAATAAACGATCAAATTCAATTAATGGCCCTCCATAATTACAATCAAAATAGGCATGATGTAAATAATGAAAATCTGAACCACCAGCTGGATCATTATGACCATCATGACCACCAATTGGTGCAATGTCAGCATGAAATTTAGCATAAAGAAAATGAAGTGGATGACATGAAAACATTAGTGGAAAATAAGTGCATGTGTAATAAACTAAATGTTCAACTGGATGCATAGATAATCCAGACCATGGACCAGGATTGCGACTTTGATGGTGAAGACTATGAAAATGACGATAGAGAAATGCGCCAATGTCACCTTCACGTAAACCATATTGAATAGACCACCATGGATGCATTAAACGATGAATCTATAGACATAAAATAGATTTATAACTGCAACTTAATAAGGTAACATACCCAATAGAAGTGGAATACCCTCCAATAAGTAACACCCAAAAGAATAAAAATCGAAGAGAATGGTCGAGACCAAAAGTCACCATAATAAGGTAATCGACCACTAGCTCATAACCACATAAAAACGCATTGAACAAAAGCAGAATGTAACCAGCTAAGCGTTGTAAATGTTATTTCTCTTAACAGATGACGTTGACCTTTTTCTTCATAAGCACTGACTGGATTAAATTTTTTTTCATGTAACGGTCCTCGAGGATATGGACTCATACGTGAGTGAGTCATCCAATGCCAAAATGAATAAATGATAAATTCACACATTATATTATAAAGAAAAATTCGAGATGTCCATCTAAAATGCCATTCATTTGCTTCAGGAAATGTCATTGGAAAAATCCAAAACCAACATAAAAGTGCAATACCAAACTCAAGTGCATGAGCTAAATGACACCAAATAAGACAATCAAATACTTTTCGTTGCAAATAGGACCATTGTGCATATGTTTTGAATAATAATGGAGTTGAATAATTTTTTTCACCCCTGTGAAGACGATGAATGCCAATGATATTACAAATACCAAATGTCATTACGATTAGATCAGTTCTTAAAAACTAAAATAAATTATTTTTGAAATACAATATTTTGCAAAAATAATTCATCACTTGTTTTTTCTCATGTTTTTCTACAACAGAACTACTTTCAATAGCCATTCATACTTTAAGATAATAGTATACTTAGTTGTCTATTAGAAATGTATGACACAAATTCGAGACGTCGCGCTATTGAATTGGCTTATGATATTAACTTTGACGGTAGGGAAAATAAGTGCACCAAAACTACTGAAACAGGACAAGGTGCCACCCTACTTGAACTTCAAAATCAGTTATGAATTATTAAATCACAGCAGCTGAAGCTTGGCAATAGTGATATTAATATATGTATCTCCTAGAGAAAGAGAAAAAGTTCAATGGATATGATTCAACAAGAATTATACAATGGATACAGACAAGAAGATCAGGAAAATAATTAATAAAAATTCTTCATATAATACAAAAAGTCAATTCATGTGATGTTGATATGAAATCCCATGATGCCTCAAGAAAGATGAAAAGAAGCCAAATATGTGAAAAAGTTGCAAGCTTAATTTTCAAAATTTGCTTGAAAGCCCCGAATTGTTTTTATTGACTGTGTAACTTTTGCCACCTTTTTTCGATTAAGCTTTTTCTTTGCTTCTGTAAGAAATAAGTGTATTTATATCACTATTATGAAGTTTCTGTTGCTGCCGTTTAACAATTCATAACTGATCCTGAAGTTCAACTAGTGTGGCACCTTGTCCTGTTTCAGTCGTTTTGATGCACTCATTTTTCCTATCCTCAAAATTAGTATCATAAGCCAATTCAATAGCGCAACGTCTCGAATTTGTGTCATACATTTCTAATATACAACTAAGTATATCATATTCTTAAAGCATGAATGGTTATTGAAAGTAATCCTGTTGTAGAAAAACATGAGAAAAAAAGTGATGAATTATTTTTGCAAAATATTGTATATTCTAGCACATAGTGCTTGGCACTTTCAACTAGTTTATATACTGAGGGTATGTCGGTCTTATGACTTAAAAATGGTCAAGCTCTATTTTTTTCCACTTTTATCTTCATAAAGATAAGAATAATAATAAAAATTGCATGCGCGCTTCTCCTCTTCCTTCTTATAAATAAGATTGTCTATTTTCTGCATAAAATAGAACTAATGAGTATTCTGTAACATTCTTAGTATTCACAGGTTTTTGTGTGCAAAAGATATGGAGCACCGCTCTGAATGGAATTCTCAAACATATTATTTTCTTCCATTTGGTTGAATCGTGCAAAATGTTCATGTACACTATTTTCTCAAATAAAGTGTGCGCATTAAAGTTTTATATAAAGGTATTTCGACTGATTTTTTAAAACGAGTTAAATCAACTTTTCTTCGTCTATCACATATCAACATATATATGATGATTTTGATCTCAGTCTACCTCATTCACATTACAGATGTCCTTATCTAATTACATCAAATAGGTCTTCAAATGTATCTAGACGGACCGATCTCTATCTCAAAGTGAAATTGAAGTGCACATTTATTTTAAATACCTTAAAAAAATAACAAGAACTAAAGATCCCGGATTTTCAGCACTGACTAGAGTTGAGACCGCTCTATCTTTTTACATAGGCAACGAAAACATCCAGGCGCCTTTTTCTTTGAATACATGATGAGTTTTGAAGATGACTTTAATCTTATATAAAAACAGCATGTTTTTCCAAGTGTAATATAACAGAAATATAGTCACATTTCTTTTCTATGGATTAACGCAAAGCCTAGATCAACAGCTCTTTGCATTCAAAACATATGAATATTTCACTAAAGATTACTTATCATTTTTTTCATATCTGAGCAGCTTACAAATAGCGCCTTATATAAATTTTTAATTATCTTTCGCTTCGTAACATAATTCATTCATCTCTAGAATATTTTTCACTAACGAACAAGGAAGATTCACCAACTCATAAAAAGCTTTTGAGCTAATATTTTGTATATAAGTAGATGCTGTTGAGAATAGAAAAGTCTAAAAGGATAACTGCTTATAGTCCTTCCTCTCAGAGTTATACCCGTTTTACAGAAATTTCAACCTATGCCTAGGTATGCATACAAAAATCAAATGACAGTATTTAGACCTGAATTTCCATCCATAGACAGGTCTAATGGTACCTAGTATGTTCTAAAAATTTCAGTCCAACCAGATGCTTCCTTCACGAGGCACAAATTTCCAAAAAGTACTGATATCTTTCCAGCGACTCTTTAAAATCCTTTTTTCTGAAAATTTGTATCTCGTGAAGGAAGCATCCGGTTGGACTAAAATTTTTAGGATGTACTAGGTACTATTAGACCTATTTATGGACGGAAATTCAGATCTAACTACTGTCATTTGATTTTTGTGTACATACATAGGCATAGGTTGACATTTCAGTAAAATGGCTATAACTCTGAGAGGAAAGACTATAAACAGTTATCCTTTTAGACTTCTCTATTGTCAATAGGATCTACTTATGCACAAAATATTAGCTCAAAAGCATTTTATAAAATGAAAGCTCTTTCAGTTGTCTATCAAATGATACATGAATGTATTAAAAAAAAATATTTACCATTTAACATTTTCTACGGATAACACTGTTTATACATCCAAATGGAATGAGGACACTCAATAGGAAAGTTTGCCTCATATGATGTTCGGTACATCCCAGACAGAAAAAATAATGGTGTAATGGCATTAAAATGCCTTGAAATTTACATAATTATAATGATGCGAAACTGTCACAAAAAATGCCCAAAAAATGCTGTTCACGAGAATCATTAAAATGACTCTTTTTGGCCGTGAAAATGGTTTTAGATGTGATAAAATAATGCTTACCAAAAAAATCATTTTTTGTGACCGTTTGACACCGTTATAATTATTTCAGTTCGTTGACATTTGAATGCCATGCTATACTCTAAAAAATGTTTTTAATACTGAGTCTTTTCTAAGTCTGGCAGCAGCGTCGAAATCTAAAGTAGTTTTTCCTAAGGACACACGAATGAAACCTTTGCGAGACACCTTTTAAGATCCGTAACATGCAAAAAGGTTCGGTATACAAAAATAGAAAGCCATTCTGGTTCGATGCTAACTCGCATAGGATGCATCCTAATTCCTAAAGGCAGTTCTATTGCACACGAATGACTTTGTATTTTTGTATACCGAACCTTTTTGCATGTTACGGATCTTAAAAAGGTGTCTCGCAAAGGTTTCATTGGTGTGTCCTTAGGAAACACTACTTTAGATTTCGACGCTGCTGCCGGACTTAGAAAAGACTCAGTATTAAAAACATTATTTTAGAGTGAAATAGTCATTAGTACTATCGGAATATTTATTATACTTCTGCTTCATCACATATAATTTTCTTGGTTCATTTCTAATTTGGTATATTCTCTGAGTATCTTCACTGCTGATTCAAATATTTTATCTACACAACCATAATCGAAGTCAAAAATCTACTCTCAGAAAACTAAGCTGGAAAGGTCTGAATACCACCTAGAACTAAATCCAAGGAGTACTATGTAGTGACAACTAGCGTTTTCAACATATTCTTTCTTTTTTAATATAAGCCAGGTTGACGTTTGTACGAAAACTTTCATTAAATCATTCAGGTAAGAAATATATTTATTCATCATGAAAATAGATCTGTTGTTTCATATGATTTACGAACATTGAAAGAAATTTAGTGTATAATGAGAGATGGCTGCTAACGTGAACCTCTTTTACTTCACATCTTTCGACTCATAAATGGATTAAGACTAACTACACAGAAGTTATTTAAGAATTAGAAAGTTATAATGTGATGAATCATAGATATGAGATCATATAAAAATAATTAAGACGAAAACTTTAGAGAATACACAAAACCATAAAAAATTAATTATCCTGATCAAAATAAAGGACATGTAGATTTTTCAATTTAATTGGAACAGCATTGTGTGCTAGATCTTATATTTAGGCTGTAAGTAGTTAGTGGAAATCTTGAGTTTATATCTAACTGTCAATATTTGACTATAAGTCTTCTAAAAAAACAAAATGTCTCATGAAATATTTTATTAGCGAACAAATAATTGATATATGTACAAAGCTTTATAAATACTCAATTAATCTTTCTTTCGTCTTCTTCCTAATACCAGATGTATCATACATATTTTACTCGACGAAGCTATTATCTATATCATAATTATTCGTGCGTATTTTTTTCTCTTATCCCAATGGGCAAATGTCAGTTATATGTCAACTGACAAGAATTTATTATAGAGCTAAAACATATTTTATCGTTTTATTCATAGCATAACATGATAGATTTCTTGGATTTAAAACGAATGGCCATATAATTTATAACTTATATCTCGGTACTTATTATATATCATCCGGCAACATAATAATTAAATAGAAGATCTAATCCGCAATGTTATCCCGATTAAATTGAAAAAATTAAGGACTTTATTTTTCCTGGTAATGAAAATATATAACAATATGAGTGGCGATTGACTGATATAATACGTTGCGCAAATGATTTCAAAAATTTAAGTAAGATTTCATCTTATGATGTGTTCTTAGTTATGTGAGATATAGATACGGCAAACTTGTTACAACTAGCTCGTCTATCTTTAAAATGAATTGAATTTATCTGTTTCTTCCTTTTACAATGATATCATAGTTCTTTGTTCGAAGACAAAGGTTATTATGAACTAATGGGAATGAACCAATGAGATTTATTCATATATACAGAACAGAACAAAATATTAACAGAAAAAACGAGAAAAATGTTGGAGAGAGAGAACGAACATAATAAATTTATTGTTGATTAGATATCTTATAGGAGAAATAAAAATACACGAAAATGTAAAATTTTCATGGGATAAATTAAAATTTCTATTTTTCTGCAAGAATATTTGAAAGTTTTTGGATTTTAATTTCTCCTGCACTAGATACCTGACAACAATGATGGATATCCAGTTATCTCAGAATAAA